ATTTTTTTCCCCCCCCCCCCATTCCTAGAAACAATCGACAACCCTGATCACAGCGTCGCTCTTCTACTACCAGATGGTACTACTTGATTCGTAGTAACTCCCAATGCATTGTGAATCTCAGCCATCTACCTACTGCCTGTGCCGAAGGAAATAAAGATAAATTAGTTTTGATCAAACTAGGATCAGCCACACATGGATGAGATGGTGGACAACGTTTAATCAATCATCCATTTGCAAGAGTAACACCGGCATCATCTCTCCTACTAACAACTCTCAATGCAAAGACATCACTCATTGCACCAGCATTCTATATCATGTTCTATGTGGACTGTATGAGAAAACCATCTGTTACACAAATAATATGATTCGATGATGAAGCCATACAATCATAGATAGAATTTTCTTTTTAAGTAAACCTTGACTCTATTCGGTTTTTTTCTGAATAAACGAATTTTTTTTATGACTGAACTGATATTTAGTTAAGCAATATTCTTCATGGTATAGGAATTGCAAATATTACTTTGGAAAATTCAATTGCCCCAAGTCACTAATCAGTTGAACACAAGATCTCACGTAAAATATGTCATTCAACCGCTATCGTAATTCAAAAGCTAACTTAATCATTCTGATCCATCGATCGCAATCAAGAATCTTATAACCCAGAAAAGAATTTCCAGTGAGAAGATTATCGAGTGTGGCTTTCTAGTTTAAAGTGTAGTATGTGCATATTTGTGAATAGTCCTACAGGTGAAGTCGGTTATTAGACAGGTTCAAAAAAACTGTAACAAAACCGCGAGAACTAGAGATTCGAGCTCACTCAAGCGTCAATTCCTTTTCTAGCAACACTGTGATTCAAGAGCTCGTTCTAATGCTCGCAATCGTATTAGAGTACCATTTGTTTTGTTGTGGGTAGTAGGCTTGAAACACGCACAGGTGAATTGGTGTTCGATTGTGATCAGAACTAACGTGGAATAACCTGTTAAAGTAATTGCCACGATTATAAGAACAAAATCCAAATTAACATGTCAAATGTTTTCCCTTTTTTAATCTCATGTAACTCGTAATTATCATTAAGATTATAGGATAGTTTGTCATTTGATCAGGCATATGATGACATCGTTTCTTGACATAAGTATATTATTTCAGTTTAGTTTCTCGAATATTAACTTGCTATTATTTTATATTAAACAAGCACATGCAAAAATAATTCCCTCTACTGAAAGGAGGGCCATACGCAAAGTGAGCTGCCGTCATTCGCTCATCCAATCGGAGAGCAGATGCGCAAACGTACCTAAATCCTCATACTATGTCTAGGGATAAGTTTGACCGAAGATTTTCGGGATTCTGGAACTCGAACCTTGCATTAGTTTTTCAAAATTGTCTACTTGATTTTTCGGTAAACAAAGATCAGTGCTCTGAGATCTATATCACACTTTATAAAGTAGAGCTCGTTATTAAAATGAAGGAAATTGATGAGCAAGTGAAAATTTCATTGAAAGTATTTATCTTTTTTGCAGATGAATATTTGAATGATTAATATCCTTAATTAATCGATTTCTTGATTCCAGCAAAAATAACCATAGGTCCACGAAAAAATAATTTTATATCGTTTTACTTTTATGCTAAGATACCTAGCAAAATATATTAGAATATTTCCATGTACATAGTTCCTTTAGTCCCTACAGTTCTTTTAGCCCGTTTAGGGCCTAGTGTGGGCGTGGGTGCCATGACCAACCTCTCTTACACTCACACGAAAGTGAAAAAACTACTAAAGAGAGCTAAAGGGATAACTTGAGGGATCTAAAAGTAAAACGATATAAATTTTATTTTTCGTGGACCTCTCTTTTTTTTATCGCGTAGAACGGTGCAATGGAAACGAACCCGGTGGATGAAACAATGGCGTCCAATCAAGTTGTTCGTACTATAGAAAAGGAAGAACTGATAAATTTGCATATGAATTGTACTATTGCGTCTCATAAGTGAGAAAATGAATTTTGTTGAAATGTTGCTTTAATTATTAAAGTTATAGAATTTGTTGTGTATGTCGATCTAACATTGAAGAATATCTTAATACCTGAAGGAGCACGATGTTGTCCTGGCCATATGATGGATCGTCGGCTCACACTGGCAGCAATTAATATACTTTCCCCATTTACTATCCAATATAAACAATTTAGTTCTGCTGACGTCCAACTTCTGTTAAGTAAATCACAACAGCTTTTTCAAAAGCAAAAACATTTAGATTTTGACGATCCTCTGTTGTTATCCGATGATGAATATAGAGCATTGACAACTCTTTCAAAAGATCAATTTAACGATTTAATATCGTATATCTCGAAATACGATATACGAAACTACCAGATGCAAAAATAGTATCTCGAAGCGCTTTAGTGAACACTTTCGTACCATTTAATTTAGGCTTAAGTCATATTACACATCAGGAAATAATTGATCAACAATAGCGCGTCAGTAACATGTGGCGGTGAACGTGAGAAAGATATATATACATACAAGTAATTAAATAGAAGTTGGACTTTTTTTACTAATTAGATTTTTTTACAAAAATCTAGAAACAACACTTTTCAAAGAAAATCATATAATTTACACAAAAAGAGATCATTGTTGAAATCAATGCTGATTCTTTCTACTACGGGTTACATCACCGCTTGCATGGGTTCTTTTTTGTCTAATTTCTCGAATAATGATGCATCGATTATGAATAATATTTTACATCGAAATACAGATAAAATAGTGGATTGGTTACAAAAGTTTGCGCGTTCTGATATTTTTCACATAGATATGTTCCTCCTTTAGGACGATGTTGTTGTTGTTGACAGAGATTTTAGTGATTCGATTAACACAATGGAAAAGTTTGATTTAAACGTAACTTTACCACCATTTCTCAATGGGGGTCGCCAATTTACAACTGATGAGGCTAATGAATCAAGGTGTGTCACTAAGATTAGTTTCGAAACGGAAACTTAAAATATTACGTTAAGACTCGGAATGTTTACATATTTCTTTATTGACTTAGTTTTTTGAACGAAACAATCCGAAGAAGTTATCATCTAAATGGAACAAGCTTGATCATATCGACATAATTAATGAATATCCCATTTTATCTGAAGATAATATAGTTGAAAATATAACTTTAGGTACTGATATAACAATTCCGATTTAGTAGCAAAATTTCTCCTCCTATTTCGATAATAGGCGTTTTTCAATTGAAACGGCCACGTTCCTATCCTGCAGAAAAGGCAACAACAACAGATTTGAATGGAGCTGTAAACTATGGGATTTATAGGTGTAACGATTATCCAAACATCATACGTGTTCCAACTAAATCTGCTCATGTAAATCGATTAACACGTAATCCCATCATTCAATTTACATCTGACGAGGTTTTGGAATGGTGGTGTGACTGTGCCATAGGTAATGGGCTTTTAGGATGTTACAGTCACGTCGCTTCTGCGATATGGTTTCTATCTTTTCAACGCTGGCAACTGAACAGTCGAAACATACCTTCAAGAAATTTCATTAATTACGTAACTGACGCTCCATAAATATCTGACTTTAACTATACAACTGATGATGAAACGAACGATCGTCATCTTTAATCAATAAAATGTTAAGAAGACACGCGCATAGTACACGCTCCGAATCCTAACTATGCCTCCTATCCACGTCAAGTGGTACCGATCCTAAAGCCTCGACATAGCTCTTTGGCCTCCATTGAAAACGAAATCTAAGACTTTGTGATTTAACTAGATCTTGAATCCAATAATCCATGGTTTGATTAAAAAAAATACATAAACGGATTCACTAATATTAGAATGGTCTAACAAATAAGCATATTCATATAATATCATTCCTATGACATAGTGGTCAAGGTTTTTTTCGAGGATTTTTTACTAACAAATGTGGATATATTCAAGTACAGTATAATTGGGACCTGAGCTAGATTCCACTCTTTGAATAATTCATTGTGCCTTATATGATCGTTTTGCGAGAAAAGATTCGGAGTTTTAGAGGAGGCCAATTTCTACTCAAAACGTTCCTTCTCCTTTGTTTTGGTTTTAATCTTACAAATTTTTAATAAAGTGAAGATCGAATCATGCAACACTTGGATGGAACACCACAATCACAAGAACGAAACACATCAAATAATTGAGGCGATTAGTCACTCAGTCGCAAAAGTTATTGTAATTATGGCTACACACTTTGACAACTTTCAGAATATTTACACATTATGTAGATTATAAAAGTTGAAACGATTGTCAAAAATGGCGTCAATCTGCTACTTTTTCCGCATCAACACCATGAAACAGTTTGTCTAGTTCACTTAAAATATCTGACATATATATTCATTGAAATTTTTTTAATAAGTTTAGTTGTTTGTAGAATTGAGAGATGGATTTAAATTAAATCAAGTAAGTGTTATAGGTTTTTTATCTTTGAACATACACACTTGCATGCATACATTTACATCAGGGAACGAGAACGAACCGAACAGAAATCAAATTAGAAAAACACGGTTCGATTCGATCTGTATTTTATGAGTGTGTAGACTAGTTTGAGGTATCATTCACTGAAACGGAGTATTTTGAAGATAGCTCTCCTGGATGGCTGTTTCTCTTCATTTTATATCGAACTTATTGAAATTTTTCTAAACATTGTTCGTGCTTCATTGTCTGGGACGCACCTAATTTCACTGTAGTCATTTAGTATCGATAAATAGCACCTAAATGAAGATTGCTTCATGATACTTGTAAGCAAATTTTCTATTTAAGCTTGGTTATCACTCGGTTTTTTCGTTGCAATCATTACCAAGCTAAAAATATCTCACCCAGGCGTTGTGGTGGTGCTGTTTTTTAGATCCTCATGTCCTTTCAGTAGAGAAATAGCGACATTAAGATCACGTTACTTGTCTAAATAGACATTGCATCATTGCCATCAAAAAAAGAACTTTTTTTATATTTCATTATATGAGTCACCCTCACAAATTTGTACCGATCACATGAAGCACGTTTTAATCCATCAGAGCAATCGATGACTCTAAAATTTGATGAAATAGTTGCTAATATTAGTGTTGCACAATATGTATGACCATATATTTAGCTCAACATAAGTCAATTGTAACTAATGAATTATAGTGAAATCACCTTTAATAAAAATAACGATCATTGTTGGATTGAATTTAAGTTTACGTATTCTATTCTCTCTAAAAAAAAACAAGAAATTAGCAGCTGTTTGTAAGTGTCAAGATTGTTTCTATTATGAACATTTTATAAGTTTTGATGTTCTATACCCTTTTCCTACTTTTATGAATGATTTCTCCTTAATTATTTCAAAAATAAACGGTTGCTTTCTTTTTGTTAGCTAAGAAGAAAAGATGAAAAATGAATATTTTTTTTGTGAGTCATTTAAAGCAGTTCATTTTGATTTGACTAGAGCTGAATAGTATTGTTACACAAATAGAATACTTTTAAGTGATCAAATGATTCATCTCTACTTGTAAAGGAAGAAGATCTGTAAACATACATCTAGATTTTTGTTTACTATATTCTATTAATCAAATATAGAACAATTGAAGAACAATAATAGAATTTTTCTAATCAATACATTTCATGAATTATTTTTCTATTTTCATATAAAATCAATCAATAAATTCAGGTTATACTTTCATTATTCGATTAAAACGCATAGAAAATCGTTTATCATAATATTTAACGCCGTCTACTGTCTTTATTTCTTTTTATTTAATTGAAAAATGTTGCTCTGGCAGGTCGATGTTACCATCAATCCGCACGATTTCGTCATCGCAACATGTATTTGATCAGTAAAGATCATTTACCTTTTGGTAAGTTTTAATAAGCAATTTTTCTCGTTGCGATGCGGGGCACGATATTTCTTCTGTCCTTACGCGTTTCATTTTTTTCCTGTTCTTTGCAAGCTTTGGAATGGGTGATGTGCCATTGCAGCCGCAATTTCGTGATTCTCGTCGGTTTGAAAACCGGCGCTGGTCTCATTGGGACCAGGCTCTTTCAAGCGGATTTTTGGACATCGGCCAGGATCACTCGGACCTGTGCCACGAATCGCCTCGACACGGCTGTCTAACATTAACTATGTGATACATGTAGAATAATTGTATTCTTATTCGTACCAATATATTAGTTTAAAAATGTCAGGCTCGATATCTTTTCACAAATTCGTTAAATACAAAAATTAATTTTAGTAATTAAAGAAAAAAATAGATAATCATACTTTTATTTTGAAAGCTTTCAAATTTAGATGATTTTTTTAATACATTAACAAGTGCTCGATTTGTTTCATCCATCAGTTCAACAACATCCAAGTTTTTAAAATACGCCTTCTCAAGTCGATCAACCATCATCATTTGATATATTGGATTTATTTTATTAGATCTATTATATCGATTAACATTCAGCCATTGACTTCACATATGTTTACAATTAAATAACTCTGGTTCCCATATTATTGATCTATTTGTTAAACATAACTGTGGAGTAATGAACTTGAACAAGCACAGCTATTCAAAAAGTTATTGTTTTTGTTTAAAGATAATAATACCCGATTTGATGTTTCGAATGTGCTCATTATGCTTATGAAATGGTGTATTTAAGGGTTATGAAGTAAGTCTGTGAGTTTTGCGAAAAAATATTCAATTTTCAATGATAATTCTTTATGAACTCAAACAAAAATTAATGTATTTTGTTCACTGAAAGAACTCGTTGAGGGTGTGGGTGCGGGTGTTGATGTTCTGGACACCCACACCCACACCCTAGTAACCAGTGGATGCACAATCTGAAAGAAAAATATCAATCTATTTACCTCCCATCACCAACTGACTACAGGATGTGAGCTCGAATTTATTTAAATGCGGGACGGAAATGTTCGATGTACACATATGTCACTATTGTTGTTATAATGCGTCGTCTAAATGATGCAATCTTAAAGTTTTCCTTCAATTATAACGTCACATTTTGTTTTAGCGATTAAAATTCTGAGCAAAGATGTAGCATACCTGAATTCTTTCCATTGGGGATAATGATAGAACAAGAAGCTAATTCATACAGTCAAGATGATTCAATGTTTGTTACAGTCATGACCGATTTTGATGACATAGCTACGAAAGATAGTATCACCATACGGATTGAGTCTCAATTCTGAATTACTAATGTATATCCAACGATTATTAATTCAACAAGAAGCAGAACGAAGAGCACAACAATCAATCGAAATTGATATTGACGAAGATATTTTCTTATTATCATCATCTATTGTAATCGAGTATTTTTTATCNACTGGCGTTCGAAATGAAATGCTATCGAAGAATACTACGAATCAGCTGGAAAGATATGATAAGAAATACAGACATAAGGAAACAGATAGCAACACAAGAGACCATCACAGATAACATCAAGAGAAGAAAGCTGCGGTTGTTCGGCCATATCTGTCGAATGAACGATAACAGGCTAATAAAACACACCGTATTCACAAGAAACAACGAAAAAACACGAAGAGGACATCCATGCAGAGAATGGATGGACGATATAATAGAATGGTGTGGTCACAGCGGGCAAGACCTGTTCCACCTTACGCAAGATCGAAGGAAATGGTAATAAATTATCCGAACAGCGGTTGGCCCCAACGGACGATAAGCCTATGGGACATCATGAATCATGAATCATGAACTTTTGAGATTATTTTTTCTGAATCAGACAAAAATTAATTTTTGAGTGTCATCAAATACTTCTGAAGTCGGCTCGTAAATTCAAGAATATTTTGGGAAGAGCGTACCATCAACCTCGTATTACTATTACTTATTATGGCTTGTTGCTATCTTTCAGCTTCTTCAATTACTGCACTTAACGAGACAAAATAAAGATCCTATTGATCTAGTGATACTAATAAAATATGGTCTATTTTTCGTGATGATACTTTATTTCGTATTGAAAACATAAAACAATGAAAGTTACTTGTTACAGAGGATGGTTTTTCTACAAGGACTAACGCACAAATAGCACATCTATCAAAAATTTATGATACGAATCCATTTGGGGCTAAAATCAATCTGTTTCAGCTTTGAATAACGTCGTACTGACCACACATAATAAACACTCAACGACGTCAACTATTCTATCCCAGACCAAAAGTTGGCAATCTGATGAATTCCGATTGTCGGAATACAATTGGATCTCAGTTAATACCCGTAACTTCCGACTTATGGCGATTACCGAATCCGACGAAACCTGATTGCCGGACTCCATATGATTCTGTTATCGTAATCCAGTCGGTTCCCTCCGTTTCTGGCATCTGAGAACTCGGATCTTTTTTTCCAAGGCGCAGTCGAAAATGTCTTAATTTTTTGTAAATATTGTATGTAATTGCAATTATTTCCTTGTGGTACAAAACAAAAACACTCTCTGAGTTCACTTCAGGCTTTAGAAACATGAGGGTGTGGGTGTGGTTGAGTTAAGATATACAGTCACATCCACACACCCACACCCTCTCGACCTGGAATATTCGTTTTTGGTTAACATTAATAGCGAGTGAAAAGAATCTTAGATTCAACCATGCTGCAAAGTAATTAGGTAGTAAACCTATGTTTTCTGGGACTTGTGGTACACTGAATGCGATAAGGAACTTATGCTAATAGCACATTTCCATTCATATATTAATATAGCCAACCTTTTGCCAAGGTATTTGACGAAGTTACTAAAGTTTTAACTGGATTTCATACGTCTCGCCTTACACTTATGCGAGCTAAGCTTCACTTTTTTTATTTTAATACTTACAAATTGCATGGTAGTGAAGGAAGCCTTATACTTCAAATAAATCCCCAAACCCAAACTCAAACTTATTTGACCAAACCCATCAAATCCAAACAGTTCGGGTTTGGCACATGTAGAGCAAAAATAATTTTAGGCTCAAGTCATTTTTTAAGATTTATGCTGCCAAGAACAAGCGACAGTTGCTTGTATCAATATCATCCAGGAAATAATATGCATATTCACTGAGAACATCAGAATACATCGGTTCCGTGTGATCTCTAGAAGCCTTATGTCACAAAAATCCGGAAATCCAACTTGGCGCTTCGCAGTAAAATTGAACAGAAACTTGTTTTTCACTTGCGACCGAGTTCAACTCTGAAGCAGATTTATAGTTAACATATTCCTACATCTTGATGGTGTGGGTGTGGGATGTGGGTGTCCAAAACATCAACACCCATACCCTAGTTATCAATGTCTCTGTGTTTAGAACCTTTCTCATTCTTCCTCTTATCTACATGTAGATTTTACAAACGTAGGCTCATTTTGCTCAACCCATCTCTAAAAAAACTGGTGTGGGTGTTGATGTTCTGGATGACCACGCCCACACCCATCTTTTAAGACAATCGTTCCGACGGTCGGAATGATTGTCCTGGGGATCTGCGCTTAAAAATATAAAAGTTAAACGATGCTGATTTGGGTTTGTTGTAATATATAACGTTTCAAATTGTGTATTGTATTTTTCAAATTCTTCCTAATAACTTACCACGATCGAAAATTTGAAAGCAGTTAATGTGCTACCGTTGTTGTTGTTGGAAAGAATTTTTTCAAATGTCTCTTTTCTTACCTTTTTTTTACAAAGCGACATAACTCAATCCATTTCTATTTGTTTTACCACTTCTTTTGTTTTTTCAAGCATGTACGCTTTGGAGAAGTATCCCGTACATAGCAACAATACACATTCAAAGGAAGAAGAAAAAAGAAAATTTTCTTTTTCGACGAAATTCTTCAATTTTGAATGAAAAATTAGGTACTGAATGTTTGCTAGAACGAAGACAATAGAAATTTTTAACAATGAATAGCAACAAGCAATAGGGTAGAGTAATCTATTGTATCTCTAATTAATTTAAACTGATTTTTTCGTTAGAATTCTGATTCGAAAAATATATTTGCAATTCAATAGAAAATTGATTTATTCTTCATGTAATTCTTATCTAAGAGAACAGGTAGTATTTTCAAATAAATATTAAAAACGTTTCTCATGATGTCGGGGTAATCAAAATTTTTATTTTTATTATTTCTCATTGTAGCCAACAGATGCGAATATAATTATTATAGAAATGTCACTATCGAGTAAACAGCAGTCGATATTTATTTTATGATTGAGAAATTAAATAAGCACTTAATTAACAGTTGCATCATAGAATTCAAATACGTTGTATGATGATGTAAAATAGATTAATATATATCGATTGTGGACGACTTACGATAGTGTATAAAAATTTTGATTTGAATAAGACATATTTTGTTTCGATGCTATTTTTCTATTAATTATATGAATAGGAGTGAGAATGTTTAGTGTCATTTCATAAACTTGTTCTTAGATGCGTTGATACAACGTTGTGAGTGAATGGAGACTTTCTCAAATTTTTGCTACCCAGTATCCAGTTGACCAAAGTTTTATAATAGCAACTTCTAATCAAACTTGTGCAGTGCGACAGATTTTCTATACACCCACACCCACACCCACATCCTGCTCGGTTTCTGTGTACTTTGGCTGCTTTTTTTTCATTCTTTTTAAAACACTTAAACATATGAATTCTATTGACAATAGAACTGTATATAGAAACACTAAAATATTCAGTAGACGAGTAGACGACGAATGATGGCACAGCAAAAAAAATTCTTAATTCCATAAAATTTATTTCTCTACGATTGCAAGTGGATGATTTTTGTAAAAAAAAAGGTCTATTATACTCGATCTTTCGACTATTCATTGTCAATAAACAAGAATTCGTTTTTTAAAAATATTTTGCATTGATCTGAAATTGAAAAATATACCCACACCCTAAGATTATAACGATGTAGAATTGCACAAGATTCGATATATGTAATTGTATCTAAAAACATCAATACTAAATCGAAAAATCGAAATATACACATTTTAAGACAGCAAGTAGTATCAAGTAAGATTAAGCATGTAAACATATCAAAATCTAAATTAACATCAACTGATAAAAAATACTTGATTACAATAGATGATGATAATAAGAAAATATCTTCGTCAATATCAATTTCGATTGATTGTTGTGCTCTTCGTTCTGCTTCTTGTCGAATTAATAATCGTTGGATATACATCAATAATTCAGAATTGAGACTCAATCCGTATGGTAATACTGTCTTTCGTAGCTATGTCACCAAAATCGATCATGACTGTAACAAACGTTGTATTATCTTGAATGTATGAATTATAACAACAACAGTGACATATGTGTACATCGAACATTTCCGTTCCCCATTTAAATAAAGTCGAGCTCACATCCTGTAGGCAGTTGGTGATGGGAGGTGAATAGATTGATATTTGTCTTTCAAATTGTGCATCCACTAGTTACTATTTTTATCTCCTGTTCACTATAAAAAAAAGTATCCAATTCGACTTCTCCAAACACGTTCATGTCTGTTAATTTCACTGCATATTTTGAAATGAAAACAAGTTATCGTTCTTCAAATCGAACCTGACATTCAATTTTTCGTCATTTGTAAAATATTTCACTGTTGCTATCTAGTAACAATACTATAAGTTCTACAACAGGAATAAATAAATATGACGATACTCAGTGAATGAACAAGTTGTGACTTTGAACATAGATTTCGAGAAAGAACTCTGTCAACGAACACCTGCATTGGCCTATTCTGATTTTCATCTCGATATCAGTGATATGAAATACAATTGTACGATTAGGGTGTGGGTGTTGACAACACCCACACCCTTTTTTTAAAATTCACATACTCAATTATGATAGAACTAAATTTATTTAAAAATAACAAAATAAAAAAAATTTGAATAAAAAATGAACCTATTACACATTTTAAAATAATAATAATCAAATTTATGACGAATCGTATCATTCCTAGAGTGTTGTATGGCACTAGTAAACAGTTGCTATTGTTGATAGTTCTCAAGAATCCTAGTCGAGACATACCTGAAGAGATCGATAATCGTTGCTTTGCGAAAACGCTCTTCCCGTTTGATCGAGCCATTTGATCATATCCGTCCACGAACTTGCTGAACCCCGATGTGACACAAATGTAACACTAGACATATTTTTCATAGATTCGAGAATTAGTTTCATAGATCCAAAGTCCATCGTTATCACTTTTAGTTGTTCTATTTGACGACATAACACTGAACACATATCGGCAGTTATTTGCGTTGAGTCATCATCATATGATATACCGATAGTCCGAACATTGCCAGCCAGATTGAGTAACATCTCCATTGTAATTGAGTCAAAATAATGATGATGCGAAAGGAACAACCAGATTTCAGTTAGTTTTGAAAAATCAACCAGAGTCGAAAGAAAATCAAACGAGTCGATGGGCCAATCAATGTCCAGTGCTAAATGAGTTACTTTGTTAACAATTTGTTGAGTTGGTTGACTTAACTAGAGCATAAAACAGACAGATATTCAATTTCTAGGCGTCGTATTCGATTTCACACTTCACAAAACGTGAAAGGGATGCGATTTAATGTTTCAAAACAAAGATTAAAATCATGTTAGTACATACTTGATTTGAATTAATAGCATCGATCATTTTTGATACGTTTAAACGAGCGCTCCACGTAATTCTACTGTTGCCTAAGTCGTCGCTTTTTGTCGTTACAGTAGAACATGATAAGATCCCTGGTAACAAGCCATCTGGAAAGTCAATAGATGAATCACTTGGTGAATACAATGCTATGTCAGTTCTTGTACTGTTTTTAATGTATTTGCAAGCAACATACCAAAGTTTTTGCTCAATCCAAAATGAAGTTCGAAAAGAATTGATAATATGTTCTATATCTTTGATTTTTTCATAGGGATAATCTGTAATATGAACATAAAATTTAAAATATTTAAGTGAAGGTAACTTGTCACATATAAAGCGTTCCCATTTAGATAAATGCTGTAGGAAATCGAATGTGGAAAAGTAGCAGACTAAGTGTAGATAGACAAGTGAGGTTGTCAGTGACAGAAGAGATTCAAGCTGATCCATTAGCATTGTACAACTTCGTAAGGTTAGTGAAGTCAATTGTTTGCATGATTTTGGAAGAACAATTTGATCATCTGTGTTCATCATATAATAGTTTGATGAAAAACTTTGAAGATTAGGTAGATGATCAAGAATGTTACACAATTGTTTGTGTGTACAGTGATGAATAGTCAATGCTTCTAATGTAAACTGACTTGAACATAATATTTGATAGATTTTATCACTAATATATTCTAAGAATAGCTTACGAATACGTGACTGAGCAATCGCTGATAAGAGAAGTTTAATTGTATCATCATTGTTGGAATCGCTGAATGTTATCTTCAGTGACAGTGGCATGTGCATGGAGTTAATAGTAATATGCTGCAGTATTTTATTGAGACCACAGGGACTGATATTAAACAGATTCAATAAGTTAAGTCGAGTGAATTGACTGATGTCAATGAGTGAAAGAAATAATTCAATTCCATCTAACCCAGTACATGTGCTTATGAGAAAAAATGAAATCACATTTTCCGGTTTGATCATTCGACAAACGCGATGAATATCACTCTTCGATGATGTACTGGTAAAATGAATTTTATATCGATTGTAAGTGTTTGTAATTGCATAAAAATGTGTACAGACATTACGCAGGGAAAGTAGAATATCTTGTGTATTAAGTTGGTCAAGAATACAATAGAGAATTTCAGTAGGGAGTTCAACAAAATTTGGAGTAAGTTTCATAGACATTATTGTACTTAAACGAAAGAAAAGTCGGCTCTTTTTTTCGTAAAAAAATGAAAGCAAATAAAAACGTGTTGTGTCTGTTTTTATCCTGACATGGTTGTGTTTTCTTCAACATGCGTCATAAGATTGCGTTATTTCTCCAGACATATCCGTAGAAAACGGTGAATAACTGCAGGCCAAATAAAAAAAACACCAATGAGACAAACGAAAAAGATGTCGCGATACAAATATATGGTGGTTTAGTACGGAAACTATCCCTAACTGTACGTTGAGTACAGACTTATAGTACCGATTAGAGAGCATTTGGGCACTTTTACGTCGATCTTGAGACAAGCTCAACAATTTTCTACTGATACCACTTGTTTGAAGGAATTCATGAGAGCTGTCAAAGATCTTAAAAATGTCCACTTTCCACGAAGTCCGTTAACGAATAGAAGGACTTTACTAGTCAAGGTAAAAGGTCGAAACTTTATCGCATTGGCATTATGCAGTTCTATCCTAATTTTCTATTACACGCTCATCATTCTCTTTTCTTGTAGTGAACTTTTGTAGCACTCTACCTTCACTGAATTAATCATTTCATGCTTTAGCTGTGTGGGAGTAGTTGCCATGTTGTTGCTGTATTTCTACGGTTTGAGGGAAAAGACAAGTAAGTGTAGAAGTTGTGTTGTTTAATCCATAAAAAGAAGTTCTAACTCTTTGGTTGGCGAAAACTAAACAACTGCTTCTATGAGTATTTATCAATTGTAATTTTAATATCAGAAGAAAGAAAGCTAAAACAAGATATTTTCCTTATTCTATACAATAGTGTATCATAATAAATCCATGTAAATTATTGAAAAAAATTAGTACAACTAAATCATTCTCTATACGCTGTTGTACGAAAATTTGATTTTCAAGATATTGTTTATATTCGAAATCAATTTAGGGTAGCCACTCATATTTTCTCAGAAATTTAAGCTGAACTTATTTGCCTGCCAAAACATACTACCATGAGTGTGTTATTCTCTCGAGGTATGAAACGAAATCTTTTTGAATAGGAAACTCCAAAGGTTTCGTTTAGCAAATTTGTTTTTCAGTGTATGATTTTTCGACCGGAACATATACATTTCCTTCAGGCACCTGCCGGGAACTCGTAGGATCCTACGAGAAAATCATGGGAATCAGCGGATTCCCATTGGAATTTTCCCCACATCCTGTACTTTATATATAGAGTAGATTGGCATTAATTGGTGTCAGATCTTGGTAGGCAAAATTATGAATGAAAATCTTTTCTACATATGTTGATGCGATATAATACTTGTTAAGCGATGAAAACAAAACGAAATCTTGCTTTTTGTGTTCTCAGCCTTGAAGATAATGATGCATATAAAGAAAAAGAAAAAAAAACTCTTTTGGCTTATTGGCTTTAATCGTATGATTTATTTTTGTCTTCTCAATTAAGATTTCTAATTCAGTTTTGGCGTACATCGAACGTCAATCATTCTCTCTTTTCCATTCTATGAATTCGAGAACAGTATTGCTGATTGTTCTTTGTAATACGAGACATTCGTTTTTTCATTCTCATTCATTAAAACAGCCTTGAAAAAGTGCGATAAGAAATGAAATTTTTCGCTTGTTTGAAGCAACACATCAAAAGTAATCAAACTTGAATATTATTCATCTCTATTACATTCTAATACTTCTTTGAGAAACATAAAAGTTAAGAAGTACACTCTTAATCGACACATAAATTCTATGGTTTCTCATATACGAATAACATTAGTAGAATTTTTTTTTCTCGTTGTTAAAGCAACAGTTTTGCAGTTTTATCGTGTATATTTTTTCTTCTAACAACAACAAAAACTATCATCCATTGACATTCGACTTTGCTGTTTCATATTCTGATCTGCTTGGTATTTTTTCTTCAGTTTCTTATCAAAAAATCAACACAAGCACAAATACAAAAAGAAAAGAAAAGCGAACTTTTCGTATGTTAGTTACATTCTTATAAAATATTATATACAATTTTAAAATGGTAAAACAATAGACTAGTTGAATATGATATTCATATAATACGAGTTTTCTCTTTATTTACCATCTATTAGCCACCAAAAAAGGAAAAGGAACATGCCACGAAGAAACCGCCGAAAACCGATAGACAAAAGAAAGTTGAAGCTGAAATGATGAAAACACTTACAACACAATATGTAAGTTAAATGCAATGAAATATATTTGAAGATTTCAATTTATTATTAATAGAATGGTGTTCTTTCATCAAATGATTTAAAAGGTGAATATGATCTATATTCTATTACTAATGTTCAGATTAACACAATTCAAAAGGGATGACACAAAAGTGCGAGCCATTGACTAAATAAATTAAAAGCAAAACGAGTACCGAAGAATTGTTTTGTCAATGTGATCATCAAAAAGACTTGATTTCACAAATTTCTACCAGTTGACTTTAATGTTTATATTCAGCTGATCTATATTTTAGTGTGATTAGTAGATTCGGTTTATCTGAATTCTTGTCTCTTAATTCTGTGTATAGGAATGAAAGATGTTTTTGATATATATGATACAAAAAGTCAAGGTATTATTAAAACTAGTTCGCTTGGTACAATTCTTCGTAAACTTGGCTTTAATCCACTTGAAAGTGATGTACAACGAGTTATTAAAGAAGTTGATCCAAAAAGTAAATAATTTGAAGTTTTCAAAAAAAATAAACAAACGAAAATTATTCATATTTATGTTCAGATACTGATCAATTAAAATTTCCTGAATATGTTAGCGCAGTTTTAAATATTCCTACATCTGTAACCGACAAAGATATTATTCCTGCTTTTCAAGTATTCGATATAGAAAATGTTGGTTTATTAGAAGCTGAAGATATGATGAAACACTTGTCAAATATTGGTGAACAACTTAATGAAATCGAATCAAAAACATTTAAGGACAATATGAATATTAATGAAAAAGGTTTATTTGACTACAATGGTAAACATAATTTTCAAGTTTCTGTTTATCTTTCAATTTGTTTCTCTTTTCTAGAATTCTTTCTTAAATTTACTCAACCAGCAGCACCTAAAAAGAAGAAGAAAGGCAAAAAAAAGAAGAAAACGAAATAAAATTTATAAGAAAATTTTATTTTTTTCTGTTTATATAAATATACCATTGCCGAGGAAAAACAACTACCAAATGTTAATACATATATATATATATATAAAGAAAATCGTCATCCGTATAAGACATAATAAAAGAAAAAAACAAGAAAGAATAGGATAAGATATGATAAGAAGATATTAAACACAACCAATTGCTTGACGCATTATTGTACGATATTGTTCTTGAGTTATATTCAATTCACCTCCACCACCACCACCGCCGGGTAACTGAATTTCGGCTGCTAATAGTCGGTCAGCTGTAAGAGACTATAATAAAAAAAAAATGTACATTTGAAAAAACAATTAGCTGATCAAGATTGTAAAACCTTTGAAAAGTCTGGATTAGAAAAGGTTTTCATCTTTGTTTCAATCATTGAACCAGGAGTAATATTGCTTTGACATTGATAGAGTCGAGTATTAAGCTAAAAAATAAGAGAATATTATTATTATATGTACTAGCAACAGTGGTAGAAACCAAAAGACTACGATGATTTGTTAGATGTGAAGAGATTTTTAGAAGTCTTGTCTATGGAATGGCCCGATTATATTTGGGATACATAAAATGGAGTCTAATATGCTTCCAAGTTTATTAAATATTTTTATAAAGAACATGAAAATTTGAATACTTCAGCTGAATACATCTGAAATTCCTTGTCCAAGCGAAACCGAATCTCCTTACATTATTTGCCGTTTGATCAACCAATTTCATTTTTGAACGTATAATTTCATGTTTAGCTGCCACATTTTCTCCAGTTATTTTATAACTGGCTATTGATGAAAATAGATCCTAAAATGAGAGAATAAAGAATTGCTAGTTTAAAAAAACGTGCATCTAATCAATTTCTCGTTAGCAGACAGAATGATGATTCTGCTACTCAATTTTCGGATATCCTGATCATGATTAATCAACTCGAAAGGTGTATGAACAAAAATCCTTTTAATTTCGTTCGATTGCTATCAAAGGTATTTATAATGTCAACGAAAATGAAACTCTCTATTTGGTATACATACATTTAAAAGTAATGTAGAAGTTTTATAGATATCAGCTATTTCATTGATATTCGTAGCTGATGCTGGTTGTTCAAGTTTAGTCAATTCCATTGATGAACGATTCATCTTCAGATGCCATATTTCATCTTTTAAATGTCGAACAGTATTTCGAAGTGCTGAAACCTAGAATATAAATAGATGTGTAACATCGTCATTACAGTCATTTGAACATTACTTCTTGTTCACTAGCTGTTGACATTAGATTTCCATCTCCGACAGATGGTGACGGTAATTGACATTGTGAAGATACTGTTCCATCTGAGCTAGAATCTAAATCAATCGAGCAAAAAAAAGATTTATTAAATAAAACAAAATAGATAAGTCTCTACTAAGTGATCCAGTTGGTTTCAATGTTCCTCCGATTTTCTTCTGTATCAAATCATCAACAAGTTTATTTTTAGTTAATTGTTTAAGTCGTTCTTTTAATGCACTCTTCTCTTGTTCGAGTTGTTCATTATCATTTTGTAAAACAGCCATAGCTTCTTCACATTGTCTAAACGTAAAAAAGAAATAGCAAATTCCTATTTTTCCCTTAGTCTGTTCAACGTACTTTATTTTTTTCTGTCCATCAACTTTAATTTCTTCTAATGTTTGTTTATGTTTGTTATCTTTTTCTTCGAGTTCTTTTTGTAAAGTATCAATTTTTTTCTCATTTAATGATAAACGTATATTCAATTCACTTAATTCATCATGTTTAAATTTGAGCATTTTCTTAATTTCTAATATTTCTTCTTCTTTTAATTCGAGTTTACCACGAATCAAATCTGCTTCATTTATCGATGTTTTAAATTGTTCAGCAATAACATAAATCGATTGCTTAGGATTTTGTTCAGGTGGTACTGTGGAATCGAATGAACCTGTTTCTAATGAATCACTTATGTTGGACAAGGTAGACACGGTTTCGTGCATGGAATCTCTGAAGAAATTTTGTTTTTCTAATTAAAAATGATGCAACGATGGACAAATAGAAAATATTTACCTAAGACTTTCATATGGACCACTATCTTCTTTTTTATAGATTTTATCACAAGCTTGATATGCAATATTTTCTATATCTTGTGCGCTTACTCGATCGTTAGCATCTAAGAAAATAGTTAAAAAGAAAACGGTTTTCTTTGATATATTTATATATATGTTCAATAATCAATGATTTACCAGAGAGTAAAAGAATTTGAGTTGTTAAACCAGAACATATTTCATGGAATGTTTTTGTTAAACGATCTAGATTACGAATAGATGATTCAATTGACGAGATGCTATTTGAATCGAGAACTAATGAACGATTTTTATCATCTTCTTGTGGTACCAGGCGATTTATCTATAAGAAGAAAATAAAAATCCGTGCTTAAGATTTGTAAGCATTGTTTTTGTATTTATTACTTTGTTAACTTGAGCTCGCATTTGTTCGTTACTTTCAATAAGACGTTGCGTAAGTAGGGCAAACGGGCTTTGATCATTACCAGACTAAAACATATAAAGAATTGTGAGATCGAGTCACTGGCAAAAACTATTAATTTCAGGGAGGATCACAAGTAGCATAATAATTTTACATTGCGGAGGAGTCAACTGTATAACTTGCTCATTAAAGAACAAAACCGAATTCGCTCTTATGTGAATCTCAATTTTGACAGCAACAGTAACAATACAATTTACAAAACGTTTCACTTAACTTGTACAACAAATTTCTCGTGCATTTTACCTGCTATAATATTTCTATATTATCGATAGAAATTTTCTCATTGAATATCAATAGAATTCTTTTCCTTTTTTTACCTTCTGTAAAACTTGTATACGCTGAATATCCGCTTGAAGCGAATCACTACTTGACAACACAACACGTGTTAAATCTCGCAAATAAGTAGACATGGAAAATTTCTCCTGGCTTAAATAGCTTTTATAGATGTGCTAAAACGAAAAAACAAAGACAGGGAACTTGAAAATTTTCGAATAAACAATGAATACTTCATAAAATGATATTGTTTTATCCAATGTATTTAATGATAATGAATCATGTAACTGATCTTTTTGTAAAAGATCAATAAGTAGATCGAGCGATTTTTCATGTGATAATAAATCATGATAAGTGCTGGCCACATGACGAAGAGTATCTGGATTGCATACTCCCATTGCCCTACAATTAAAATAAACAGGGTGAAAATTAGAATGATACCTGTGAGAGAATGATTATTTCAAATCGAATCGATAATAACCTAGTTTTTATGAATCATTCATGCAATACAAAGTAAACAGAATCTTAGTCAACGAGTATCTGGAGAACAAAACAACCTGTCTGAGATCACTCCTCTATTCACAACAGTATTCATTTTATAGAAAATACTGACGGGATTTCTTTCTAAGAAGAAAGTTTAGTCTGAAAATCTTAAAAAAATCATGGAATATGTCATCAAAGAAAAACGAAATCCTACTTCGCAAATTTTTGAAGAATCATTTGAAAAATTGATAATGATTGAGACAGTTTACATGCAAAACTCCATTCTTCTGCACGATGTGTATTAACAACATCATCAAAACTTATTTGATCGACTCTTGGAAATTTTTTCTGTACTTCAATTGTCAATAAATCACATTTCGATATTAAACGGTGAACAAGTAGAAGAGCAAAAATGCAATCTTGATCTGCGCCACGTTTAAGAAATTGTTCAGGTAAAAATAATGTTAATAAATTAACATGTTTTGTTAAATTTTGTACGTCAAGCTTTTTTATTTCGTTTTCAATTATTTCACCGTAACTTTTTGTTTCAACAATTTTAGCTTTAAATTCACTTGATTGAACTGAACCAGCGAGTTTTAATTGTTCCTCATATTTTTCAATTTGTTTTTTACATTGATCATTTTGAAGCTAAGAAAATAAAAGTTTCGAAATTTCTGCTTTAAATGCCATAAAACGAACATACTTGCATATTTTTAACTGTCTCACGAAATTTCAGTATAGTTCGTTCATGATCACCAATAGTGTATTGTAATTGTTCAATTTGTCGGTCTTTCTAAAAGAAAAAAAAATGAATTGATTTTGATTTCAACGTAAAAAACAATTAATATTCAAACCTCACGTAATTGATTTTGTAATAAATCAATAGTTTCACGAAGATCACGTTCGACTTCTTTAGCATTTTCTTCCATCTCTATTTTAATGAGAGAGAGAGAGAGAGAGAAAAGCAACAATGGAATATATGAAAAGAATGTTCGACTTACCTTTGTCCATTTCACAGAGTGATTCCTTTTTATTAAAAAAAGGACAATAGTTATGAAGATAGAAATTGATAAAAGAAACTTACGAGATTATCAACATTGTCTTGCAATTCTCGTACTTGATCTTCAAGTGAAAGATTTTTATTTGTCAATATCTCAACCATTTGTTGAGCACCCAAACATGTATCGACCTAAGTAAAATACACGATCTTAGTTTTTATCTCACAGGTTGCTTCATAAAAGGGATTTTTAAAGAACCTGTTCAGTTAAATCTGCAATCGTTGCTTGCATAGTTGTAATTTCAACTTTTGCATTTTCATTTTCTTTTGATAATATTTTAACTTTATGTTCTAATGCTTCACATTGTTTTTTCAGTGTTTCATTTTCAGCTTGTTTAGTCAATGATAAATCGCGTAATCTAAACAACGAAAACATCGATCGAATAGATGAATAGGAAAAATAGAAAGTTCTACTTTATTAATGCTTGTTCCATTTTAATTGTTCGTTCATCATCAACTTTTTGTTGAATATCATTTGCTACTTGATTAGGCCCATTTAATTGTATTTCACCTTTAATAATATCTAATTCTAATTGTACCTCTTCAAATTTCTCTTTTATCGTTGTATTTTCTGATGTTATAGTTTCAAGCTAGAAAAAGTCAAAGAAAATGGAATTTGCAATGTCAGAAAAATACGATATATACTTTTTCTTCAGCCATTTCAAGATCGAGTGCAAGCGATTCAATTCGTACTTCAGTATCAGTCATTTCATCACGATAAGCAGCAAATCTATCGCGAGTATCTTTCAATTCATGTTCTTGTTGTTGCAATTTTTCATTTAATTCTTTTATGCGATCTTGTGCTTCACGTTTATAGGTTTGTAACTAAACAAAAATATTGATAAACAAAGGAAGTGCATATTTTAAGAAAGGCAAAATATACTTGATCCAATTGAAGTTTTGTTCGTTCGAATTCTTTAATCTTTTCAAGATCATCCCGACGTCTTTTTATTAATGTTTGAATTTGTTCTTCTTGATCGGTAATTTTATTCTTGAGATTTGCAATAGTTTGTTGAGAATCTGATGATTCTGGTGTGGAACTGGTCGATTTTTTTACTACGTTATTCGAATCAATAGGGGGAATGGCAGCTGGTGGTGGCTAAAAATAGTTTCCATGGAAAATCGAATGGAAATAAAATCAATTTGACTCTTCCAAAAGAATCAACATATAGAATTTTACATTGGTCATTTGAAACAAACTCGAAAGTAATTTTCTCAAATAACGTACAGGATAGTCTCACTGATAAGTAAGTGAATAGCGGAAGATTTCATCGTCTCAAATATTTTGAATCTTATGTAAAAGATTAAGTCTTGTGCGAAATTTCAGTAGTATTATTAGCTCCATTAATGCATAGGAAAATGCTATTTTAGAGTCTCTAGATCTAGAGTATTATTTCCTTTATATCTTTCGCATAAGTCCATCAGACTATATTTCTATTCTTATAGTTTAACTATTATTTCTAGCATAAAAAATAAAATATCTTATTTTACCATAGAAGTTATTGACCGGGCTTGTGATGAAGGTGTTTCAGTTGATTTAACTTCTTCTTTAGGTGGTGATATTTGTTCAGCTGCTACAGCCGCTGGAATGTCACTAGATGATTGAGCTGTTCGATTGAGACCTTTCATTAAGACAAGGAAGAATGAGAATTAGAAAAAGATTCGACCCCGAATGTAATAGAGTCAAATAAACCATCACCATGCTTTACACAACATTCATAAGTCACAGTGATTGATAAAAATGAAAATATCGGCTATTTTTCACTCTGTATCAATTAAGTTTTTAAATATTTTCATTTTTATCAATATCTGACCACCGGAAAAACAAGAGAATACAACATATCATTTTACTACCTGTTTCATCAATATCTCCATCGACTGTTAATATAATAAGAAACAAAAGATATTTGTTTTTATTATTTGTCTATTCATTTTTAAAAGGAATATTCTATTTTTCAATTCAAGTATATTATACCTGGAAGCTTTGTGGCTGCATTCGATACGGGTGCTCGCATTCCACTTTTTTTTGCGGGTAAAGTGCTGGTTTTTGGAACTGCAAGATTCGATGGTGGTGGAATACTTCCTGTACTACTAGCCTGAGATTTTATTGAATGGTTCGAAGATGATCGTACTAAATTTGTTTGTAAATCATTAATCACAGATTCAATCTGTGCAGGTCGCACATATAAACCATGATTGTCATCACATGTAAAATACCGTACAGTTGTTCCATCTAGAAGAATATTGCATATATTCAATAAAGTAGAATATTCGTTTTACCTTTCTTTGGTACAGTTCCATTATTTTTTCCTTTGGGCTCATCAAGAATAACGCCAATCCATTCACCTGTAAACAATTTCAATAGAAATTGAACGAAGAGAAATTTTAATTACCATCTGCAAAATCTGTTTTGCCAACAAAAGCAATTGTGCCTATGCCTTTACCAGCGATGGTCACTCGTTGATCAAGACGAAACAACGTAGCTGAAGCCATTTATTGACGAATAAAGTTAGATAAATGTTGTCTGATAATATCGTATCGTATATATCGAATAGTACTAGGACTAATAATTGATGTATCTAGTATCCAATCAAATTTTCTACAGCTGCCACTAATGGCCAAATCTTAGCTATCAATGAAATAAAACACAAACAAATAGGAAATATGAATCAATTAAATTATTTTAATTCAGCTCAGCTCATATCGTCCTAAATTCTTGTAGATATATATATGAATGATAGGTGGCATTGATAATCATGGATGTACAGACAGTATGTTGTCGAAAGATGGTACCAGTGGTAATGTCAGAATTCAATAAACTATAAAATATATTAGCATCAAATAGCATATGTAACAGTTGTCTTATGACCTGTAGATAATAACATTGAAGATACAAGTAACAATGGCAAGTTTCACTTGGCGCAGTCGAACAAAATCATAATAAAACTCATTGATGAGGTTGACTTCAACATGAGTATATTGAGATTAGATTATTAAACTTCAAACACAACAGAATTCAATGCAAAAACCAATTCAGTATACTCTAAGGTCAGTCTTAGCAAAATATTATTTCCATATAGTACATAAATTTTTGTCCAGAAAGGTGGCTAACTTTATGAGGGGGAAGCATTTCTTAGGTAAATACTTCAAAAAGTCATTCCGAACACGCCTAAACAATGATATACTGATTAGAAAATATTAGGGACATTGATAACAACTCAATTTGCTTTTCAGAGAAACAAAGACATTTTGTTTTTATACTTTTATTTGACTAACAACAGTCAGCTATTCGATACCAAGACGATAAGAGAATCAACGTCATCAAACATAGTGCGCAACGAAAACAATAAGCATGACATATTTTCATACTATGGCAATGCTAAGGTATTAGTAAAGAACTGTTATCATCAAATGTATATAAGTAAGATAGCCAAAATCATCATCATTCCAAAAGAGAAGAAGCAAAAGAACCATCACAACAACGCAACACCATGATTTGCATATCTCAATTCATTGTGTTCGTCACAGCCGTTGTTCTCAATCAGTATTTAGTACAAGCAACTATATTTTCATGCAATACTACAGCTCCGTGTGGTTGTTCAAAGAATGCAGTCAATATCAATTCGAGAATTGTCGGCGGTGAACCAGCTGCTAGCCATAGCTGGGCTTGGGCTGTTTCATTGCGTGTGAGAAACGGTCTACATTTTTGTGGTGGCTCTATTATTTCTCCACATTATGTGCTTACGGCAGCACATTGCGTCGATGATCCTATTATGTCGATGTTAACCATAACAGCTGCAGTTGGTACAGACAGTCTCACTGACAGTGTTGGGCAAAGGATATCAGTGTCATCAATTCATAAGCATCCAGGATATAATAAACTTACTCACGCAAATGATATTGCTATACTTAGGCTTAAAAAAGCTATCTCTTTTCAGAGTAGTAATGTTGGTAAACTTTGTCTACCTGCACTAAATGGGATCGTAGCAACAGACTTTCCTTTGGTTAACTCAAACCTTGTTGCCGTTGGTTGGGGAAAAACAGAGTTTGCTGATGACTCGAATGTTCTCAGACAAGTAACAGTCACAGCTGTTAGTAGTACTGCACCAAAATGTGCTAATTCAATTCGCGACACTAAATTACAATTTTGTGCAGCAGTCAATGGCGGAGGCAAAGGTAATTTATTGTAGTTACTGGTTAAAACCACATAAATCATTTTTGTCTGTATAGATACATGCCAAGGTGATTCAGGTGGCCCATTGATGTATTACTCATACTTATACCGGCAGTGGGTGATAGCAGGTATAACATCTTACGGTAATGGATGCGGATTAGCTAATTATGCTGGTGTTTATGCACGAGCCAGTATGTATATTGATTGGATAAAATCGATTGTGGGCAAAGATGGCGTAGTAATTATGGGACAAAATGCAGCTAATATTAGTACTATGCCAAATGTATTTTGTTTAGCATTAGTTTCCGTTTTATTTATGATGCGTTTATTTTAATCGAATAATTTTTTTTGATTTTTGTATAATAAATTTCTATTGAATCATTTTCATAATTATAATATAGTTCATCGAATATTCAAATGTTTAACTGTAACATTTCTATGCTTCGACAAGAGTGACAAGTAGTAAAGTATAGACTGAAATTATTTAGAGTTCTATATATTATCTAAGTAATTATTATAGCTAAATAAAAATATTACAACTCACAATTGACAATAACACGGCTGATTGTTTCTGATAATAATCACTTCATATACTTCGCTCTTCAAAAATCTAAACATCGAGTTCTAGAACCTTGAATAAAGGGAAAAGGTTTTGAGTTCTCATTGTATTTCATCATATCGTTGGAAACGAAGCGTTTAGTACATTCACTAAGTAAAATACGTTCAAATAAAATAATAACCGATCATCAGCACTAAATATCAATATATTTTCTTTCCACGCAGAGTAAACATTAACTGTTGTTATTTACGCGAACTATCATGTTGTCTATTATGGCATTAATCGCATTGAAGGATGTGAGAGCGTTATTTTAAAAAAAAACATTTTCTCGCTTTTATTGAAATTACAAAGGAATATAACAACGTTAATTGTGTTGAATACTAATTTAAGGTATTCTTCGGTATGATTTACACAAGAGAAACTTGGGTTTCTTTGCCATAAAAAAGAATATAAAGGCACCAAGGAAAAGGTGCTTCAGCAATATTAACTTCCATGCTATTTTGTGCTCGACTCCTCTCATTGAGAATACTCAACAATCGTTCATTACAATTAACTGACAGTTCTAAAATATCGCCTAAACTAACTTGAGGCCATCCTGGATGAGAACCTTGACCATTCTTCACTACATATCCATGTATGAACCATCCATGTGTTGTTGGCTTGTCATAAAACAATGGGCCTGCAGGTGGTTTGTTCTGACTGCAAATACCTATCAAAATGGTTGTTGTACCTTTATCTAACTTCAATCGAATTCTATGGATTCCAGTCGAATAATTCAGCGTTCCGAATACGTGTGCCCATTGACTATCAACAGTGTTCTCACAGGTTCGACTATTATCAGTCAATCGAACAGCAGAACTACTGACTGTTCCAAAACGTTCTACTCGCTGCTCTGATTGTAAGACTGTAGCAGCACTAGTAATATTATTTTGTCCTCCATCAATAAATCGTTCATCGAATTTCAATAGACGAACCAATTCCAAAAATGATTGTTCAGATCCAACAGGTAGGCGAAAACTACGTTTTATTGATGGTTCTGACCATGCACGAAGTTGATTTAGAAGAAATTTGAATAACTAAAAACAAACAATAAAAATAGGTATATTTGATCGCAAAACTTAACTGAGCAACATATTTCACAGAAACTATTACGCTGACGAATTTTTATAGTATCAAAACAATTCTTTAAATCGGCAGAAACCGTGTTTCAATATTGTCAAAAGAAATATAGTCGATGTGTACTTACAACTGGATCATAATCCAGAAATATAGAACCATTTGCGTCCTTTATCAATTTTTCTTCCCATTTGCCTGAGAACATAGTCGCAAGTAAAGATCCTTCGATAAGAATCAATGTTGCTCTTGATGTACTTATAGTTTCACCACCAACATTCAAATTCACAATAGGACCTGCTGAAGCAGCTAATTTCTCTACTATTGCTTTTTCTTCATCCCATTTTCGTCGCTCATTCGCTAATTGTTCCTTTTTTTCTTTGAATATTTTCTCATTTTCAGCCTTTTGTCGTTCTAACTCAGCAATAGCTTGATCAAACGTTGCCTTTGCTTCATTTGTTCGATTGTGAAGCTCTGCAATAAGATTTGTTAATTTTGAGTTGGAAGAATCCATGTGCACACGTAAAGTAAATTGAGAGAAATTTTGCAAAAAATAAGCTCTTTTTTCGTTGTAATTCAAAACAAAAACAACCTTTTTTCTTTCTGAAAGGACGATGACGAATCAGAATGAAAAATATCTTCGCCAAAATTTTATTAAGCATAGGTAGATGGCAAGGCAATCGCACACGATATCATTCTTTTCAACTAACGATACGACTGTCTGAGACTGTCAAGAGAAAATAGCTGTTTGGTGGAACTCTCACCCAACAACTCGAATTTCGATATTTCTACGTTGTTTAATGGTTTTAAAATCCTTCCCATTCTTCTTAGACGATATATTTTATTTAAAAGGATTCAGATTGATGGATATTTTCATGATATTTTGGAGCTGTAGTGGTAAAGCTACATTGAAATTTTCAGGAGATATTCAATCAACAAGAGTCAAAGGTCAATGAAAAAATTCATTATATTGACTTGATTGTTTTTTGTGTTCAAAACTTCTTGTCGCAAAACAGCATATGGCAGAGCTCTTTTGTTAAAATTCCTACTGTATAGAGAGAGCACACTCATGAGAATTTCCACGCCTCGAATAAATCTTAAAACAATTAAAAAGAAAATTTTCATTTGACATGAAATCATTTTCATAATTTCAGGTTTTGATAAAGAGAGTAGCCTGTATTGCCCATTTTAATAGTCAGGCGATTGTTATTCAAAAATAAATATTATGACTTTATGAAATATGCGACTGATTCTCATTCATATTCATATTTAGATATGAAATTCTATTTATTCAATGGAATATTTCATCATTTTGGAGAATCTATTCTGAATTGAAGTAAATAATCGATTATTCGGCAACCGTACATTCTCTATAAGAGTGCATTCTATATACACAATGATCTGTTGATGCTTATGTAGGAAGAAAGCGGCCATTGGTTCAATATATCAAACAACGAGTAATCTAATTATTAAAGTACTTTCATAGGTAATAGTAAAAAGAAAACGTTAATTTAGAAAAGTAACTCAATCATAGTGTGCATCTTGAGTTACTCTCTCAAGCAAAACAAGAATTAAATACGTATATACATGAAGTTAGACTGAAAAAGTTGAGCTTTCTAATTAAAAGAGCAGAACACGAAAAAGATTTTCCCCTTTTTCTTCTCTAACTTCCGACATGTACTCAACGAAAAAATCATCTCCTTGATAAGCGATTAGAGGTCAGGGTATGTTCTTAAGCATTCATCTTAGTTTTCATTTTTCTTCAATGAAAATGCAATTCTTTTGAAATGAGAAGTGGCTTAACAAAATTAGGTGATCGAAACTATTTGTTTGCCGTTATTGATGAATTCTATTGAGCTATTTTTTTTTTGTTGAATATCTGACTAGAAATAAAAATAAAAGCAAAAAAAAGACGAAGTACCATTAAACTACACTACATTGTTGTTTTATTCTTTGTACAATATTCATAATCGTTTTGATGATTGATTGAAATTGAACGATGAACTTCTTCAAAGTGTTAGAATTGTTCTGACTGAGTTCTTTTAGCAGTTGAATGAAACTTTTTAAAGCTTCACATAATTGTGTTGTTAGTTGAACTAATGATGTGCGTATTTGTTGTACATGTTCATGAAGCGTTTCAAGTACAAATACAAGTTTATGTGCTGCAACAATCAGTGCTTTACCATCAATTGTCAATGAAGGAATATTATGATGTTCAGCGTCTAATAAATATGAAAAACGTTTAATTATTGAATTAACTTGTTCATTGACATGTCGATAATAGCATTTAATCAGCCGACTTTTTGAATCAATATCATCGAGAGAATCATTATCGTTAGACGGAATAATAGATGAGGATGATAATAAGAAATTTGAAAAACAAGTTTTCGAAGTTTTCAGATGTTTTTGGTGATTTTCATTATGATGGGTTCGATGAATTTGCGTTGTCGATAATGATGTATTTATTTTTTCTTGAGGAATTTCCGCTATGGGTTCAAGATGAAGTTTTTTAAATACATCATTTGATATAGATGAATTACTATTAGATTTTTGTTTCACTCGTAAATCAATAGTTGATTTTATTAATTGAATAATTTTTGTTGCTAATTCAATAGTTTGTTTTTTCTTATGTTCTAATTCGTGAAGATAATTCTCTTTTATTAATCGATATGTATAACGATCCAATAGACAACCATGATTTTGTAGAAATAAATAACATTCAGTTATAAATGAATAAATTTTTGATTCAATATTTATTTTCAATGTTAATTGACAATATTTATCAAGGATAGAAGAACGAATAGATAATTTTTGAAATGAATTCCGTAATTGATCAAGATCGACTATAAGACAAAATTGAATTATGAATTGTCTGGTTTTTACCCATAGAACAACTATGCTATTTGTTTATTCGACATCTTGATAACAATAACGACAGTAGCATAGTACCGTAGAAACTTACTTGACGATAAAGAATTATTAGTCGAAGGAATCGCGTAGAAGTCCGATGATGGCGATGGAGATAAGTGAAGATCATTAGCAGAATAAATACCGGATGAGCATATAGAAGATTCAGGCGATGAATCAAGACCTTTTGAATTGCAAATGAAGTCTAGCAAATAATGAAAATTTCATTCAACAGAAGTTTTTGTTCTATGCAATAAATCATTGGAAAATACGTACTTGAACTTGATGAATTGTCATATTCATAATTGGATGATGATGATGCTGTCGTATTATCATAATTTTTTGATGGATCATCATACATCTATAACAAGTTATTAAACATTAATATTTAAATTTTATTCAAACTTACGGATGCAGTCGATAGACGAGAATGAGAATCTAAATAGTCATTTAGTTTAATTGGAGACGATTCAGTGTTCTGAATAAGTTTCAATCGATTTCCTGGACATAGACCATATTTTTCTTTGTTTTTGCATAGCCACCAACCATCAAAACCATTTGGATTTTCGATGAGTACTGTTAATATATCACCTCTACGAAATTCAAGTTCATCTTCATCATCAACATTATTACTATAGAGTGCTACAGCTAATTGCATTTTCTAGAAGAAGAAAAAAACAAGAGACAATCATTATGTAGGCACATGTCTTCTATTAACAGAATATATTTCACATTGATTGAGCACATTATAATAATTATGTATTGAACGACAAGGCTATTTCTTTTCTTCGGTGTAGTTGTGCTGATTGACACAGTTTTTCCGTTTAAATTTAAAAGAGAAAAAAGCAGAAGAGAACTCACCGGGAAAGGAATGTCGTAATAATACCTACGCATACATTGCACACGATGAAATCAGTGTCTCTATTAGACCAAGAAGAGAGAGAGAGAGAGAAAGAGAAAATGTCTTTACCATTTATTTTTTGTTACTCTCGATACTATTCTGTCATTACTTTCTGTTCTGCGTACAAAGACACCAACTTGTATGCACTTATGAGACGCAGAACAATTTAATCATTACTCTAAGAAAGAAAAAGCAAGGAACAACAGCAGGAGATTGATTAGGCTTTTTTTCAATACATGATAATATTGAACTTATTGCTATTCATACATATCATCACTGATTACTTATTATAATTTCAGATCCGCCCCTAATCACTATTAGCCTTCGTTGTATCTTGTCGTTGTTGAACGATTATGTAATATCGCGTTTCTCCAAAAGTACGCGACAGTAACAATTATACACTAGTACAATGAATACGATAGACAAGTTTATTAAATAAACATAGGAACAAAAAGAATAGAATATGTCATCTTAATCTGTCTCCAAACAGATCAACTGACGGCGACGACGGCAAAATAATGTTCGTTAAGATTAGTTGTCGAACATGTACGCTAAACAGACATGCTGATTGTATAAGAAGTATTTTAATAGAATCGTAACAAGTTAATCAAGGCAAAACCTAGTTTACCTTCTTTGAAGAAGAAGAAGAAGAAGAAGGTGAATAGTAGACACATTTTAAAGATTTTAGAAATTTATATTAAAGCAAACTGAAAGTAAAGAGTTAAAAATAGAAGAAAAAGGAAAGAATCGTATTGCCAATGCGAAGGGCAATCAGTATTACTGTTTACTACCATAGTCAATCCATCGACAAACTATTTCGACAAAGATCATCATCATGCAAATAGTGTCTAGCGCAATTAGTAAATAGCTTTCTACTAGCCGTTATAATGCTGTTATCAATAAAATAGTAATAGATTATTAAATTATTGTGATAATGTTGTGAATGATAGAATCTATTTATTTCATTGTGTCAAAGTTTAAAATAACAAAAACAAATATTCAAGAACAATCATACAACATCATCGAATAAAAAAATACATAAATCTCGGAGATAAATGAATGTCTGCTTTTTTAAGAGTGTTGCAAATTTATCGAAGTCAACCAAAAGAATACTGATTAAAGCAAAAAAGAAAACCTGCATTTCATATAGTCTCATATGTATATCATTTCGTGGGTTGACACGCATTTCTGCTTAGTTCTATATATTTGCCAAATAGAATCATATCAACCAAAAGATCAACATAGTACGCGATATGACGATTGGCATTTGTCAAACAGATACTATATGATTATTGATTTACAAACACAAAAAAACTCATAGAATACTAAAAAAAAACTGTATAAATAGGATTGCTTTGGGCATACTATAGCATCATAAGATCTAGAAGTATTTTTCTTACGCTAATATGAATCCCAGAATAATAATAATTGATTGTTACTTTCTAGAGAATAACAATAACATGGAATATTTTTCAGAGTACTGGAATCGATGAAAGTATAGAGTAATTCTGGTATATAACACTTATCACGGCCTTCATATGCCATTGGCTACTCTTGTGAACTATTTACAAAAGCGGATGTTTCAGGAATAATGGCCTCTTTCTTTTCTTTTCAAGTAACTTTCTGTTTTAACTGGATATTTTAGTTGTGTAATAAGAATGCCTTTCAGTGTTATTTTTTCAATCATTAACAGAAATAGCAAAGTCCTTCAAAATAAAATACCTCAAGGTTTGAATCTGAACTTTTTCATAGTAAATGTCAGAGATTGACGGTAGAAAAAAGTTCACTTGATATCATTATTGTGTTATTGCGTGTACAATTCGCTTTAATTTTTAGCAAAAAATAAAATATTATTTCTGATGAGTTTCATGTTTTCTTAGTAATACTTATACCAGGATATGAGGTCTTCGAAAAACGTAAATATTACGAGGGAATAGTATAGTAGTTAGCAAAATATCGATGGCTAACGTCAATTATCCATTTAATAAAGTTTAAATCTTTGATCAGATTCGGCATCAAAATGATATTACCATTAGACAATTAGAATATCCAACTAAAGAAGTAGTCCAAGAAAAAAATCTAGACATTATCTTAGCTCAGAAAGTAAAAATCTCTAGCACATATAACAAATCAAGATCTTTAATTATCCAAATTTTGTCTTCGCTAGCTTATATTAGCGTTGAAATCCATTGACTAGATGGAAATGCAAAAAGTTTCATAATCACATAGACATACGAAAATAAATTCCAATCATATGAACGGAAAAAAACTTATTAATTACAGTCGGAGATGATCTACGTTTTTGAGCACAGCAATATACATTCAATTTTATTATAATTCAAATCTTTGAAAAAACCAATGGCCCTATCAATGTGCAAATTCAGAAAAGTTCTCTATTTCAGTCTTGTTCATGCGCCTTAGTATAAGACGCAATTTAAGCGAGAGAGAATAAATTTTGGAAAACATACGAACTTAGTTTAATGTACTTATGTCGGATTAAAAACAAACTCAGATTTTTCTACGTAAACGCTACATCTTATGAGTAATTATCTATTGACTACTGTGTGGCACTCGTTATACGAAATACGTAGTTGACATAGATATTTCACTTCTTCATTCTTCATGTTATTCAATGTTGTTTCATCGATCGAAAAACATTTATATTTTAGCGCCCTTTATTAACACAACATCAAATATTTACAAACAAACGTGAAATCTTCAGTATTCAGCGCTACAGAATTCTATTCACACCCCGAAAAAGATGGAGTCGAATTTCGAAAAACCTATTACAAAAAAGACGAGAATCATCTATGACAGGAATATTTTCAAACAGACGAAACATAATCTATTTGTTTCCATGCTCGAAAATCGAGTCTTATCACATATCAAAATTCAGTCGGGCTAAATGAAAAACAAAATATTGACAAAAACATGAATAAAATAGCTCCGACTAAGATCATGCATTGATTCATTGTTAAAAATAAAAAACATGACAACAGCTTCACCGATGTTTTTTGATCCTTCACAAATGATGCCACCTCCTTTTTATCTACCTCCTCCTCCTGCAGTACCAGCTCCTGCTCAAGTACCAGCTCCGTCAAAGTCTACGTTACTAGATCTCTTGAAAATCCTCGTCGGTTTACTTATTGCAATAATGATTGGTGCTCTTTTTGCACTTGTTTTATTTTTTCCACGTGCATCGAATACAATTGATGTACGAGAATCGAATGAAAAAATTGCTAAACTGTTAAGTGAATCGAATGAAAAGATAGCACAATTACAACGTGAGCAAGCGCTATTCATGGAAACCGAACGTCAAAGACGTCAGGAAAATGTAATGGAAAAATATCGTTTTGAAGATCGATTAATTGCGCAACAACGAGTCGAACGACAGATATCAATTGAAAATCAACGTCTCGAACGCCAATATAATTTAACTGAAAAACATCGTTACGAAGATCAATTGTATGATCAAAAGAAACGTGAACAAGATTTAATATTTGCCTTGCATCAATCAAGTCAGCAATTAGAAGTTGAACAGAAACGTTTACAAATACTATTAGAAGAAAAACGATTAGACGAACAAACTAAAAAAAATGATCTTACAATGAAACAATCAGAATTATTATCAGAATTTATGCAAGAAATTATGTCAACAACACAACCAATTAATGCAGTCAAATTTGAGTTGAAAATTCATTCATTACTACGTCAATGTGATTCTGTTCATAAATCATTATTAATTCAATTTTTATACAAATTTAAATATATCAATGCTAAAAACTCAGCAAATCCAACTTTAGATTTACAAGGAGCTAATTTAAAAAATCTTCGTTTGGATGATTTGGATGCTGAATCAGGCCAAAGTAAGTTTCGGTTCTTTGTTAAAATATTTATTTACAATATTTTCTTTTTCGATAGTCGGTCGTCGGCTAGATTATTCTCAACTTTCATTACCGTTAACAAGCTTAATCAATGCTTCACTCGAACAAATCTATTTCAATGAAGCTAATTTTAGTATGTGTAATATGGCCGGTACTTCATTTCGTTCTTCACAAGGTATCGGAGCAGATTTCTATAGAGCTAATTTATCTCTTACAAGTTTTGTTAATGCTGATGTATCTCAAAGTAATTTTTCGCATGCGACAATTGAACGTGCTTCATTTCTCAACGCGAATTTATCACAAGCGGATATGAATAATGCAAACCTTAAATCGGCAAATCTACAATTTATCAGTGCTGTTCAAACAAGTTTTTTTCTAGCTGATATTTCATCAGCTGATTTTAATTCAGCAAATCTTGTACAAGCCAACTTGGCTCATTTATCAGCTCGATCAGCAAATTTTCATAGTGTAAAAGCTATGCAAGCAAATTTTTCATATGCTAGTATGGCAAGTTGTGTTTTTCAATGGGCCGATCTTAGTAGTGCATCGTTTCAGAGGGCATTTTTAGCTGGCTCTAATTTTGAGAATGCCAATGTGCAAGATGTAGATTTTACTGGAGCATATCTTGCTAACGCAACAATCACGCCAGGACAATTGGCCGAAGCTCTATCAATTGCACAAGCAGTGTTACCCAATGGAACCATAGGAAGAAATAGAAATTTAGCAAGTAATAGTGATGCAAGTTGTAAGTATATTAATGGTATAATAGCCGATTGGAATACCAATGGAGATGTTATTACTAAACAAGAGAAATCCAGTACTGAATGCGTTTTTGAAGCAAGAAAAATAAATGCAACATTAAGACAAAATGTTAATTTACAACGTTTTGAACGAGTGATTAAACATGGAAACAGTAACATTTTTCTTGAAATGCGTGTAAAACCAGCAGGATTGCTAAATTCATCGACTTCACCTGCTTATATGATTTTACGTTTTATTGATTCAAACAATAACCAGATTAATCTTGAACGTAAGTGAAATAATAGAAATAATGAAAAGTCAACGAAGATTTATTTTATTATAGAATCATTAGCGGATATAACTTGGTTTCAACCACCATCAACATTTACTGCTACTATTCCTTGCCCTGCAACAACTACCCAACTGCAAGTGACAATTGTATTTCGAGAAGCTCATGTAACTGCTGATCATATTTATGTAACAGTTGATTAGAACCTTCGGTTATTAACAATATAAACTATACTTCGCTGCTTTGAAATAAAATAAAAGTTTCGTGTTTTGAATATAGAAATATTATTGCGCGAGACTGAATGGAACAATGTATCAGTTGAAGCCAGAGAAATCATTATAGTTAATGGCCAAAAAGAAAGCCTTTTTTTAGAATTTTAACATCTGTTTTTAATGTTTTGATAGAATATAAACAAATTATGAAAAAAAAAAGCTTACGACACTCGGTATTCCCAGGCGGTCACCCATCCAAGTACTAACCGAGCCCGACGTTGCTTAACTTCAGTGATCGGACGAGAACTGGTGTATTCAACGTGGTATGGCCGTAAGCGACCATATAGATTAAAAAACGGATGCTCACTTCTGAACGCTTCGTTGTAGATGTGGATATATCAAGCAGACCTATTTCCCACGAATATAAATCTTGAGGGTGTGGGTGTTGTTTCGAATTTCCGTACACACCCACNAGCTTACGACACTCGGTATTCCCAGGCGGTCACCCATCCAAGTACTAACCGAGCCCGACGTTGCTTAACTTCAGTGATCGGACGAGAACTGGTGTATTCAACGTGGTATGGCCGTAAGCGACCATATAGATTAAAAAACGGATGCTCACTTCTGAACGCTTCGTTGTAGGTGTGGATATATCAAGCAGACCTATTTCCCACGAATATAAATCTTGAGGGTGTGGGTGTTGTTTCGAATTTCCGTACACACCCACCCACATCCTAATACATCAATCTTATTTTATTCGTACGTGATCTATCATTGGTTTCCCAGAAGAAAAATCTAATCGGATGATGACATCCTTGAGTTCGGTTGAAATCTGGATCATAGTTAGCTAGTGTCATCCTCATCCCTCAACATTTGTTCATCGAGAGAGTTGATGGGCCGATCATGTTAGTAGAATCATCTTTCTGTTTCTACAGTTTTACGTCAAAGTAAGCTTTTTGTGAGTCTGGATTTATTATAAAATGAAGAAAATTAAAGAAAAAATAAATAAGAACAATTTTTAACCATAATATAAACATTCTTTTTCTTGAATCATCACCTTTTTTTGTTTATGGTGTTGATGCAAGAAATGCAGTTGCACAGGATGTGCCTGGTCGTGTAGTGCCAAGGGATGGTAATTAAATTGGCACACAAATGCCAAATCCGCGCCATTCAACTACTGGCACTAATAGTTCAGTAGTACAGCAAGCCGTACAACAAGCAGCACCAGCAAGTGGCCCGCTTAGAACATTTTAGTTTTTCTGTTGAATAATCATAAGAAAACTGAGAACGATGACTACTAATGTTTTCATTTTTAATCATGAATAGTACGAAGAAATATGAATCTTTTTAGAAACTGTAAGAAGAAACATAGCTTGATGGGTTCCGTTATCAAAAGGCTTATTTTGATTCACTATTGATTAAAAAAGAAGAAAGTCATTATGTTTTCGAAAGAAGTTATCATTTACAGAACTCGGTGTCTTCCAAGATGAAATGAAAAATAATTTCGGCAACAATGACATCTTTTGATCAAATTTTGACCGCAAATTCCGATGAATAAAATGATAGTATGTTATTTTTTAGTAGTATTTATAGAGAAAATACTAGATGGCCGAAAAGTTCTCTTTTTATTTATTTCTCAGCTAAAATGATCTCGGTTACAAAACTTTAAATTCGTAGGCGGCTCATACGAAAGCATCATGTTTGTCTCAAATAAAAGAGAAGACTCTTGCTAAACGCTAAAAATCAAGTAAACATCGTATTTGAGAGATGAACCTACCTTTTCTAGAATGTCTGTCCAACTCCAGAAACTACTTCTAAAGCAGATCATTCAAGAGCATGCCAAATTACACTAAAAAAAATGAAGTAACTTACCGAAATTCAAAAGGTCCATCCAACGGTACGAAACCTAAGATGTTTCTTCCGATGGATGCACAGGAAGAATCTTTTTCAAGTTCACCAGAGTGTGAATATTGGTTCGTCTCTGTTTAACTAGCATGTACACTGACATCTTGCTTGTCTTATGGTGTAATTTTCGGATAATGAAGTCGAGTCAAGCTCGCATATACTTTCATAGGAGATATCAATCTCGAAAAACTGTCCGACTCGTTCCATAATTTTGCGATAGTGAATCCCTGTGGTTTTCTCCTCATCGGGATAGGACACTCTCGAAAAACAAAACCGATCATAATTAACCTTTTCCAGCATCGAGGTAGAAAAAACCTTTTTTTCAATTCTAGATAAGCTTTCTAGAAGTGGGAAAGAGTTTAGTCAGAAAGTCTGAGCATCTTGGGGGCTCTGTACTTGCTGAATGGAACCGAACAACGTTTCAGAAAATAGTATCGAAATATAGAACCTCAGGAAGGTTCAGTATGACAACTTTTGTTCCAGAGAGAGAACGAATCAATTAATCATTGATATAAATTCAATCAAGCATTGTGGTAGCGATTTTACGTCATTGAACAAATAAAAATGTTCTTCCTTTATCTTTTGCTTTTGTTTCTCAAGCATTTTATGTATTTTCTTCATCTCTAATGTTTTGTAAGATAAGAACAATTGCAAAATTTGCTTGCCAATGACGACATTTTCAGTCGTATGAAAGAAAGACAGACAGCGATATAACTCTTGTTCTTGTTTGTTCACAAAAAGATTGATGAGTGAAAGTTTAACTGGTCACGAATGTCATTCTTAGAATCTTCTTGATCCAAGAATGAGGCTGAAAGCTTCGATCTGAAAGGAACGATCTTATTATGTACGAATTCGAACTGTTAGATTCATCGAAATGTTTGGAGCTGAGGGACGATACTTGGACTACGTGAAAATAGTTCATTGTCCTTCTCGTCATCACTCATTGTGATGAGCTGAAATGAAAGATGCTGACTTTCGTGAGAAAGACGTTTTGAACCACGAAACAAATTGTACTGATACAAAATCCTTTGCTACTGTCATCACTTCATTTGCCACTGAGATAGTGAAACATCTTCAAATCGTGTAGAGCGACGTCGTACGAACTGACTGATAGAGTTAGAGATGACTCAGCAGATAGCACCTGTAGATTTTGGTAATTTCGTTTCACTCGACAGAAAAATATCAATTTTCAAAGATCATGTGATTGAATTATTATAATCACTACAAGACATGACTTATCCGTGCAATTTCAAAAGTTCTACCATAAAAATACGCCACCTGAATTTTTCGTAGTGCTTTCGCACTAACGCTTTTGATAGACTTTAGAACATAGCATAGCGGAGATCAAACCGAAAAGTGTTTTTCGTTCTTGGAAGTCTCGCTTATACTTCTAGTCGAAATTTCACTAAACTACCATTCAAATTTATTCGGCAAATGCTTAGATGGGTCTCATCACTACATTGCTTGCGAGTCGCCTTTCTTACAACGACGATGATTTGCAACTCATACTTCCACCAGAAAGACTCCAAGAATGATATTCATGATCAGTTAAATTTTTACTCATCAATCCTTTTTTTGAGCAGACAATAATAAGAGTTTCATCGCCGTTTGTCTTTCTTTTCTAAGGGTGGAAGTTTCGCCATTGGCAAGCGAATTTTGCTAGTGCTCTTATCTTACACAACATTAGAGAAGAACTACAAATGAATGGGTATCGTTTTCCACAGATTGTGGTTCCCTAAATCACCCCCTAAATAAAACCCACATTTCTGGATAATGAGAAGATAAGATTGTTTTCGTTGCCAAATGGGAAATTTCATTTATGAATTTTTAAATTTGGCGATATTTTAAAATGTACGATGTAGGGTAAAAACTGATACTTCCCATGATTATCTTAATCCTGCTATACTATACGAATACGCTAATAATTGTCACACTACATATACGAAGAGAGTGTTTCGACAAGTGTGAGGGGAACAGAGCATATACGAGACAGTGCTTCTCTATCCATTCTTTCAAAATGTCTGCATGTTTATCTGATGATGGACTCTTCCATTCTTCTAGTTACCTATTAAAATCGTAATTGGTGATGGTTTTTTCTATGAAGAAAAAATGTACATTATAGAGTTTACGCTTTGTGACTTGACTAGAGTATATTCCAACAATAAGAATAGAATTAGAAAGATTGGCAATGACAGTATTTTCAATCTCTATGCCTATTTGAGTAGCTGTTAGATGTTTTTCTACTGCTACGTGAACTAAATAACTTGCTGATGACAATTATTACAATTAGACAGAGAAAGCAAATGGCATAGTTTAACAATTTCTATTAAAATAATAATTAATATATGTAGATACTCTTTAAACTAGTTCCACTACTTCTAAGTGATGGGTACTTTAACCCTTCCACATAGTAGCATTTAATATTAAGGAGGAGTCTTCTGTGAGGAAAGATACGGATTGTTATATGATTTCGGTTTTTTCTTTTAATTTACGTTTTCTGTGTTCATGTCAGTAGTTAACTCTTCGATAATTTTGCATATGACAGATATTAGTCCTTGAAGACTGTTATTTGGAATTCAAAAAAAACCGAAAAACAGTCTTATCCATTACGTTTACAAGAGAACGTAACATATTCTTCAAAGTGTTCTGTGACAATTTGAAATGTTATGCTCTATGGTTAACAAGTAAACTTATCTCTGCGAATTTTTTCTCTAGTCTTATTAGATTATTCTCTGTCATCTGATTCGACAGTTAATGATGTAACTGCTTTGATCTTCATATGGATACGATGTTGTCAGTTCGAGTTGGCACAGCTGAAAAATCATCTGTATTGATATCTGGTATTTTGTTTAGAACGTTTCCATTGGCGCAATAGATCACGTATGAATGTGGAGTCTAATTCCTCTTTTAGATGTGCTTGATTTTCAGTGATATTTTGAAGACGTACACAAATAACAAGTAGAGCGTATCTGTTTTGATTCGAATTTATAGGAGAGGAATAATATTTAACTGATGTTATATTCCTCACCTTCACTGTGCCCTAAAATGGAATCAATGAATGACGAGAACAAAGAGTTCTATTTTGT